ATGGATGGATGAGATCACTAACCCTAAGATATGAGTGAGTTGCCAAAAATGACAGAGGTTGGATTGGATTGTGTTGTTGAGGAATCCAATCCTCTGCAATAACAATATCTTTCCCCGATATCTCTTGCCATTTTACATTTTGGCACAGTAATTGTGCTCCCCAAACAATGCTTTTATAGCCCCAAGAAGAAGAATTTGGGGGTTGAGAAGGTGGAAAGACTCCATTGCTACAACAGGGATGTGGGTTAAGCCATGATCTTCCAGGCATGTTTTGCCAACAATGCCTGATCAAACTCTTGTGTTAGTTTTAACCCCATTCCTTCGTGAAATTGTGATGTGGTGATTTTCTTCCAAGCTCTCCAATGGATGCCTTGGTCTTTATCACCTTTCCATATAAAGCAAGCCATAATTTGATCAGCTTTCTTCAAGGTGGCTGATGGGAGTTTAAAGACCCCCATAGGGTAGACTAGCATAGAAAAGATTATTGATTTGGCCAGGGTGATTCTGCCTGATAGGGACAGTAATTTCGTCTTACAATCAGAGAAATTTGTTGGAGAGCTTCTCTGTGAATTTTTGGAAGATGAGTTTCCTTTTCTTCTTTGAAGTCTAGACTCATGCCTAGATACTTGCTTTGGAACTGTCCTTCAGGAATTTTCAGTGATGAGTGGAGGGAAGTTTTCATACGCCTTGTAATATTTGGGCTTACCAGTATGAAAGATTTCTGAAAATTGATTCGCTGGCCAGAAAAATTAGAGTAAACCTCTAATAAACCTGTTAATGCCAGGATAGAATCTTCTTTGCACTCAATGAAAAAGAGACTGTCATCGGCATACATGAGGTGGCTTATCCTTGGAGCTTCTCAACTAATTTTGATACCAAGACCAGGGAATGACTGTGGTTCAGCTTGAATGGTAGAAGAGAGTACCTATTGACACAAGATGAATAGATAAGGGGAAAGAGGACAACCTTGTCAAAGACCTTTGTGGGAAGTGAAATATGACAATCCTTCTCCATTGAATTGGATGGAGTATGTGACTATTGTGACACAATGCATGATGAGGCTAATCAGATTGGTAGAAATGTTGGCTTTGATCGTGACTTCTTTGAGGAAGGACCAGGAGACACGATCATATGCCTTGCTCATGTCCAACTTTATAGCCGCCAAAGCTGTTTCCCCTGATCGTTTCCTAATGTGCTCTAGAACCTCATGTGCAATTAAGATGTTCTCATTGATATTCCGGTCAAGTACAAAACCCTTTAGATGTTCTTCGATCAAATCATGCATTACATGCTTAAGCCTGTTAGTGATCATCTTGGTAATGATTTTGTACTTTACATTGCATAGACTAACAGGGTGAAAATCATTGGGGTGCACTGGATTTTAGTGTTTGGGAATGAGTATCAGATTAGTTTGATTCCATTCCTGGGGAAACTCTTGGTGGTTAATGATCTCCAAGATGGCAGAGGAGACTTCATTTTGGATCATACTTCTGTATTTTTGGTAAAAGCCCGCCTGCATGCCATCCAGTCCCGGAGATTTCCATGGTGCCATTTGTTTAATAGCTTCCCAAACGTCATCATGACTAAATGGTCGGTCTAGAAAGGTTATTTGATCAGGTGCCAAACATTCCTCCACATTATTTAATAAGTTCTGAAGGAATAAGGATGAAGAATCATTCTATGTCCTGGATTCTGTGGACATGTAGATAGAGGAGAAATGATTTTGTAGAAGAGATCCAACTTGTGCATGATCTTGAATCCAATCACCATTCTGATTTTGTAGTTCTATTATCCAAGTGTTCCTTTTCCTTCTTGTTACCCATTTATTGAAAAACTTGATATTTCTGTCTCCTTCCAATGGCCATATTAGCATGGCTCTTTGTTGCCAGTGTTGTTGTTGTTAATGTAAGGTATCTTCAAGTTCAATTCTCTGATTCCCTAGTAATTCAGTCATTTGAGCGTTGGATGGATTAGCCTCCCATTTTTGTTGTGTTATGGTCACTTTTTGCATTAATTCTTGTACCAAATGATCAATATTGCCAAATGTATCCTTACTCCATTGATGAAGTGTATGCAAACTTTTGTGGAGTTTGAAGGACAATTGTTCTTGAATGTTGTTAATGTGGATACCCTGCTAAGGCCATGCTTGTTGTACTAACTCCTTGGTATGAGCATAGTTTGTCCAGAACTGCTCAAACCTTTTATTTTTCTTTCTTGGTTTGCCTTTTTCATTAAGAGATACCAATATAGGGCCATGATCAGATTCCATTATTGGTAGGTTTCGAATGATGGCATTTGGGAAGAATCTTAACCATTGACGATTAATGAAAGCTCTGTCTAACCTCTCAAAGATGTCATTTGATCCTTGCCGTTTGTTGGACCAGGTGTACTAGCAACCAAGATGTTTGAGTTATTCCAAGTTATTCTTGGGGATGAAATGTTGGATTGGTGTTGTATGTTGTGGCCTGACTGGTCGTCCACCATACTTATCCTCCTGACTAAGTACCTGATTGAAATCACCTAAAATGAGGTTGGGATTTGATGCCACAATATGCCTCTCCCTTGTTGAGAAGGAAGGCCATACCAAAAGGTGACTGTCCATTCAACTCCCGTAGCTTCCTTAATTCTGGCTACTATAAGAAAATCTTTTTAGTAAAACTTCACTTAATTCTCGATTCAACTTTCGAAAATCAAGGTTTTGAACACAAGTCAAAGACTTCAACCCTCAAAGTTGGCACAATTCAACTTCAAAGACCTTTAAAACATTTGAAACCAAAATTCATTCTTCATCAAATGATAAAGAAAGTTTTGAAACCCAAGTTAAAAATCAAGGAAAGTCCAATGATAGGAAGATCCACTAATTCATCTCATTCTCCAAGTATTAAAACTCGAGAAAACAAAAGACCAGCATTTGTTACTTTTGAAAAATCTTTTGATACTAAGATTTAAACAAAAACAAAATAAACAACAAAATTCTGGTCTCTATGAAATTCTCATTAATTGAAAATCCATAAATTCCATTTTACTCATTAGATTCAAATGAAACCAACAAGAAGGAAGGCTTTTTTATTTATACTTTATGTAGAAAGTACAAATTCAATAAGCTTCACCTTTCAAAGAATAGATCCAAGATATTTACCAAAAGATAAATTCTTAAACCCTCCTCACTTAAAGACATCTCTTTCAGAAAGAAAAGGCTATCTCAAGCAAAAAGCTCTTCTTTGGCATCAATTCTCTCCTTAAAGATCCAACACATAAGATCCACTAACTTGCTCATAGGAGAAACAGTTCTCTACTTGCAAATCAAGGATAAATTTCAAGATGTAGCGCCCACTTTGATTAGATACCAACGTATCATCATCAAGCTCTCGCATAGACCTCAAAATAACACCACAAGATCAAACAAATGTGTAAGAAGTCACGCACAACCACACAAAAGACAAGATCAATTTTGAAAACGTAGTTTTCACAAGAATCTGATTTATTTTTTCAAAACCCATTCTGCAACAAGAAGGAACCTTGAAACAAATAAAGATAGTACTACTCGTTAGTAGCACAAAGCTTGATTACCACACCAAGTAACGGATTCCGTGGCAACTCAAGATATTCTCAAAACCAAGAACTATGAAGTCCTCAATCAAAAAGAAATCTCTCGAAAATCAAACTGATAAAAGAAACTGATATGATAATATCAATTAATACCATCACTAAGATAGTCCAAGCTCTGATACCAAGAAACTGATAGCAATCTCGTAGATGAAGCAAATTTCGTTAATGCAACCATCAAACAAGAAAGTACGCAGATAATTTGTCTATCCCGTGAAACTCAAAAGAGTGCGAAAAATTCATAGTAAGACGACCGTTTATCTAAGTGATTCTATCCCTTAACTCAAACCAAGCAAAGAACACATTATCCATGAAAGATTCGAATTAAATAACAACCCACGCTAAAAATAGCAAGGACACCATTCAATATACTCGATAAGTCATCATTCAAGAGACTCAAGAATGGTAGGAACAAACAATGCTCAACTATGAAGGAATACTATTGATTAGTAATCTCCATAACCAACAAAGATATGCAACACATACACTATCTCAAAAATGCTTATACCAAAACACAACTCATCCAACAAAAAGTAGGACAAACCCCACAATGGAACTCATGAACACACTCATCATGAAATTCGAACACCAAGCCAAAGGAAAGGCTCATCAATCGAACTACTAGAAGTAGTATGAAAATAAGAAGTTTTGTTTTAAAACAATTCTATCAAGAAGCATACTTGAAAAAGAACGGTTTCTGCAAGATCAAAAAGATCCAAGAGAAGATGAAAACCCTCTTAGTTAAATCATACTTGACACGAAAAATGGACACTCCATTTAACAAAAATTCCTCACAGGAAAAACTCTCAAAAGAGACAACAAAAATGACCACTCAAGGGTGCTTTTGATTTTCGGCCATGCCCCCTATTTATAGGCTTAGGAAATTCGGCTAGCACCACTAAAAGAAGATCAATTAGGACTCTCTAATCTTATCTCACAATGAGTAGAAGTAGAAGAGTATTTGATCTCTTTGACTCTATCTAAAATCTAGGAAACCTTATCTAAATGACTTATCCTCAAGTAGGATAATATCTAGAAGGAATCTAAGACTCCTAATCAAAACACTCTAGTTTCGAAAATAACTCCTAGACTTAGACAACAACTAAATCTCGAAAATCAGCTCCCAAATTGTTGAAGTAAAATGTCTTGAACGCCCTTCCAAAAGTGGAATATTGGTCTTGCGCCCCTTAAGTTGTAGAAAACTCCAACTTACTCCAAAACTTGTAGAATTCTCTTTATTGACTCCAAAAGATTGGAAAAACACTTGAAACAATTAAGATAGTTTGCAACCTATCCAATTGTGTAGCAATGGACTCAATCTTGAACACTTTGATCAAATAGGCCGTCCATTCAAGAACCTAAATGACTCTTCTCACTAGCTTGATCAATGATCTTCATGGAGCACGTAGAGTCAAACTCTCTTGATACTCTTGAGCACTTATTTCCATGAGGTCATCATCTCCTTTGGTTTGAGCCCCAAAGTTAATGACATTCTCATCATCTTGATCATAGCTCTCTTGAACCAACTCCCTATCACATAGGTAGTCAAGATCCATTCTTTCTTCCTTGATTGGCCTGCAAAGTAAACTTGGCATTCCAAAACTAGAATGAAGGACTAGTTCATTCCCCTCACTAGGAGAATCACCATGGAAGGCTACATGATTCTCATCAAAAGAGGGCTAATCCACCCCTTGTACCTACTGGATCAATGATTAAAGAGTTCTTAAAAACAGAACCTTGTTGGCCTTTGTCTCCATCAAAAACAAAATACTAGGATTGTACTGTCTTAATAATCTACCTATTACATGCATTGTAGAGGCATTGTTCATATCCCTACAATTCCAAGAGAGTACACTCTGAGGTGGTTGATTTGGTTCAACCACCGCAAGACACAACAAAGAAGAGGTGTTATCCTGGACAACTTGTTCATTAAGGCCTGGTGCCTCCATTGCTGGCTGTCCAGTAGGTACATGTTCCCCAGCTTGGGCCTTTTTGCAGGCTTTCTTAGAGACTCTGGAGGATTCAGGTTCAGGGTGATCTGATTGACATTTGTTGGCACGCTTGCTTAAAGCAGACTGACTGTCATCTTCTGAATCATCATCTGAATCAATGTACATCCTCCTCCCACTTGTTGATGAAGTTGATTGGGACCTTGGAGGATTTGTGGCATCGGGACGTCTTGGCAGAGTCTGTCTAATGTTGAAGAATGAGTGAACATCAGTATCTAAGACTGCAGTCCTGACATTGCATCTATAAGAACCTTCTGATGATGAAGAGGGTGGAGTAACAGCAGCTTTGGGGAAGGTCTTCTTTGCAGCTTGGCATTTGAATTCACCATTCCTTTTCTTAGGAGGTATTCCTATTCGCCTTCCAAATGATACTGAATCAGAGGGGGAATAGTAGCCTTCCCTTCCACTTTCAAAGAGAAAATCATCCCAATCATCCCTTTCCACCTCTTGAGTGGATTCCTCAGAGAGAACATAAGTAGCTACACTATCCTCAGACTCCTCACTATCTATTACATCATCATCAAAACATTGAGTCCCAAGCACAGAATTGGGTGACTCAGAACATTTACGTGTAGAATCACCATCAACATTAACACCATCAACATCAACATTAACATTATCATCTTCACTAAAAGAGTAATCATCATTTGATAAATCAGAAAATTGATAAAAGGACCTTCGAATATCAGCAGAAGAAACAGATCTTTGATATTCAGAGAGAGCAGATGCAGAGAGCAAACTTGATAGCCAAGAATGAAAACTTTCATCATCCGATGCCTCCATGTCCACTGTCAAAGATACCAAAGGATGGGCAGGAGCATGATGGCCATTTGGGAGATTCCCATTCTGAGTAGCAGCATAAGGGGCCATAGAATGATTTTCCTGTTCTCTTGTCCCAGCTTGGCAATAACCATCAGAGTTATAGTCATCTGGGTGATAAGAGAGATTTTCATCTTCGTTCTGATTGCCGTCATTTTGATGTTGATCCTCATTGTTGGCATCATCGTTGTTGTCATTGTTGGGGTCATCCTGATCATCATCGGGATCATCATCATCATCATCAGCATCATCTTCATTTTGCTTGGGGTACCAGGGGACTGGTTCAGGTTCCTCTATCTCTTGGATCATAAAACCATCCTGGATACGATGTTCCGAGACTGATTCATAATAATTCCTCATTTGGAGATACTTGTGGGTTTTAATCCTGGTACAACGCTATTTCTTATGACCATGAGCTTGCATGGAGCTTGGAAACATGGGTCTTGCAGCATCAATGAGCATGGGAGAGTTATCTTTAACTACCTAGTCAAAAAAATACTTATCTAGAAAATTCTCTAGATCTGATTTAGAAACAACATGGCATCTTTGCAATGGATGACCTAAACGTCCACATCTTTTATAGAATTTGTGCACATTCTCATATTTGCATGTGATTTTTGCCTTTTTACCATTTTTCATAGTGATATGGAAATATGGAGTGAGTGGGTTACCTGGTTCTACCCACACCTTAGCACGAACATAAGTCGCTTTCCTGAAGGAGACACAATCTTCCTTTACTAGAGCAACCTCCCCATCCCTGGCAGCAAGATCCTGGCCCCAAGATAATTGAGAGAAGTATAGGCACTCCATGCATGCGGACCCATAGACTGAATTTTGTGATGCGGATGCTGTCCAAAGCTAGATCTTTATCATCATAGCAGTGGCAGAGAATGAGGAGGCCGCCATCCACCGCATACGGGCCACTATCCAACATCGTAAGTAGATCTTTCCTGTTTTTAAATATGATGAAAAAAAAGTTCATGTCATAATGAAGAACGCTATTAGGCATTGGCTAATTTTCATTCAAATACTTCTGCAACCATTAGTCATCAAATTCATGGTCATCCAACAGATAGCCCAAAAGAGAAAGACTCAGATTAGCCCGGGACAAGTGTGTGTGATGATCCGTGAGTTGCATGTTGGTAGATCTCATGTGAGAGGTATATATAAGTTACGGATGGACATCGACCCCATGCTGGAAGTCATATCCTTCTTCGGAGAACTCTGAACCTTGCACTGACATTGCAGTGACAGTGTCCTCTCCCATTGCATGTCGGAAATTCGTGTTTGGTTAGCAAGATTTGAGGAATGTGACTTTAAAGAAGGGTATTAAAGAGCTATAAGCCAAGGAAGGGATTGTGTGAGGAATCAGATTGATAAAAGAGTGGGATATGAATGGTGAAAAGTATATGCAGATGGAAGTTTAATAGAATAGAAATGAATGATGCTGACACAGATTATTGGAAGTTAGAAGAAGTTGAAAATTCCTTGAGCCACTCAGCGAATGTTGGAACTACCCTTTTTCGGAGAAGCGAAAAAGACAACTGAAAAGGAAGTAGAAAGTTTTGTTCCTTTTCAAATTCCACAAAGGGTTGGGGGATTTATGGGGCAGAGATCTGGGGATTAAGGGGTGGAATAAAGAAAGGCGAGGAATTAAAAATTCAAAACATGAGTAAAACTAAGTGGTTGCATGCAATCCAAATGGTAAAAACTGTCCAAATTATCCCTAGAAGAAGTAATCAGACGTAGGGAATGATTATAGTATAGGCGGTTTTGGACTAAAACCATGGATGAAGAGAAGATTTATTTTCCAGATTTGATAAAATGATGTTGTTTGGGATAGTGGATCTTGAAAATTGGAATGGTATGTGTTTAAACCTTTCTCACTTGGAGAAAGAGGGGATTTTCTCTCACTTGGGCTTAGAGAGAGAAGGGCTTTAGTTGTTCTTATTCCACATCTTAAATAGCAAGGATTGATGTGAAAGAGAAATGCGTTTCTCTTTGAAAGGTTTTTCTTTTATTATGAACTGTCAGACTACGATGGGAGGCTTGGGAGAGGATGATGCACTTATCATTGATAAAGCGATCAGTATTTTACACTAGTTATCTTCAATATTTTATGTTGTTTGTCCATCTGTGTTGTCTCTCAAAATCAATAACCATCCATTTTTCTCGAGAGTCTCCTCTCCAAGTGGAGTACAAGATTGCAGACATAAGTTACATCAAATGCTATTTGTCAATACTTGATTATTCCATGTCATATTGAAGAGGCCCTGCCCTGACCAAAGATTATGTCTATCTATTGTAGAATGCAATTTAATATCTCAGGCCTGTTTAGACTATTAACTTAAAACCGTGGTTTTGTGTTCTCTAATTTGTCCAAGAACATGTTTGGACAACCCAAAAAAAAAAAAACATGTTTTCTATCTAATATTTTATTATCATTTTCTAACACTTCTAACTACCAAGTCAAACTAACACAGGCCACCATTAAACACCGCTATAGTGGCCCCGATGCCGTCGGGCTAACGCCGACGGCAACGGGCCAGCCAAAATTCCGGTCGGTGGTGATGGTGAATTGTGATCAATGGTTGTAGTCAAAAATGTGTTTTTGTGTCCGGACGCATTCTTTAAATTAATCTTAAAACCTATTTCAAAACACATCTTAAACACGCAAATCCATAAAACCAAAAAACACAAATCAAACGAAACCTTAATGTTCTTTTTTTTTTCCTTTTCTTCCATATTTGTTGCATCTATGTTCACGTGTCCTTTATGTTGTTTTTTTCTACAGACTTCAATTTTCTTAAATCTTAAGATTAACTTGACAATCTTCTAGAAAAAAACATTTAGTAGTCAAAATTAAATACGACCTGTAACGAGGATTTAATGTGGTTTTCTTTCTATACTGGTTTATTTACATTACAAAGTTGTAAAACAAAAAAAAAGGCTTGACTTGGTTGTAACACATAAGCATTTTAATTGTTACATTATTTATATACAATTTGTTATAAAGCCTATTAAATGTGGATGTTGTCTTTAGTTCTCTTTATGGTTTTAACTTCATTTACAGCATAACTCCATTAGTGATTCTTATCTTATGTATTTACGAAGTTATGGAGTTAACGTAATGTACTATCTTTAGTTGATTTTAAGCCTATAAATAGAGGCTAAAGTAAATGGAAAGATACACCCAAAAAGTCTTACCACTATTCCTCTCTTCTCTATTTGCCTTACTTTGCCAATTTCTTTTAAACACGTTATCAGCATGAAAGTGCTCTAGCAAATTTTCTAAGTCCTCTTTTTGGGTAAGTTCTAAAAGCCTACTCTATTTTTATACCATGGCCAACAACCTTGCAAAACTTGAGTTCATAGCTCTTGATGTTTCCGGAGAAAATTATTTATCATGGGTGTTTGATGCCAAAATGCATCTAAAAGCTAATGGACTTGGAAAAACTATCAAAGAAGGAAACGAGGCTACAAATCAAGAAAAGGCCAAGGCCACAATTTTCCTTCGCCGCCACCTTCATGAACAGTTGAAAATTGAATATTTAACTGTTGAAGATCCATTTATCTTATGGATGAGTTTGAATGAAAGATATAATCACCTAAAGACGGTTATGCTCCCAAAAGCTCGTCATGATTGGATGCACTTATGTTTCCAAGATTTTAAAACTGTTAGTGAGTACAATTCAGCAGTTTTTTGAATCACATCACTTTTGAAATTATGTGGTGATGAAATGAGTGATGCACTAATGCTCGAAAAAACATATACCACTTTTCACTCCACAAATGTGTTCCTGATGCAGCAATACCGTGAAAGGGGTTACACAAAGTATTCTGAACTGATTCAGGTTCTGCTCGTTGCTGAGCAAAATAATGAGCTTTTATTAAAAAACCATCAAACTCGCCCAACTGGTACTGCCCCATTTCCTGAAGCAAATGCGGCAGCTATAAATCCAAATAATGGACAAAATAGAGGGCATGGTGGTCGTGGTCGTGGTCATGGCCGAGGATATGGTAAAAACCGTTTTAACCGTCGTGGTGGTCAAAATAAAAATACTACTTTCCACCAGAAGTTGGGAACTAGTAGTGAGAAAGAGGAAAATAAAAAGAAACGCGAGAGTAAATGCTTCCGTTGTGGTATGAATAACCATTGGTCTCGTGTGTGTCGTACACCTAAGCATCTTGTCGATCTCTATCAAGAATCAATAAAGAAACAAGAAAAGAAGATAGAGACTAATTTTGTTGGCAATAATATTGGATTTAAGCAAAGTCCTGTAGACAATGGTTTTGTCGATTTTACTTCTTTGGATGTTGCCGATTTCTTTGTCAATCACCCTGAAGGTGAAACTAGTCACATGGCTAATGACGAAAATGTCTAAGAGTAGTTTTCTATTCTACATTTTAAGCATAATATTTCATTTGATGTTTTAAATAAAAATTGTTTCCATTATTTCTTTGTAATAAATGATATATGTAATATTTACTGTTTGATATAATGGATTATATTTAATGTTTTATATCTGAGAATGCTTTATAATTTGATAGATGCAATATTGGAATAACAAAATTCAATATCTCATTTGAAATTTTGATTTTGTTTTTGAAGAAAAATGGATGTTTCAATGGTAAATGACAAAGAAATGTGTCTGGCAGACAGTGCAACTACACAGTCCATCCTTAAAGAAAATAAATATTTTTCACACATTGTAGTGAAAGAAACTCATGTTAGTACTATATCTGGTAGTACAAAATTAATTGAAGGCTCCAGAAGAGCAAATGTACTTCTTCCAGGAGGGACGAAATTTTACATTGATGATGCACTCTACTCTTCAAAATCTCAAAGAAACTTGTTGAGTTTTAAAGATATTCGCAGAAATGGATATCATGTTGAAACAAATTGTGAAGATAATATTGAATACTTGTACATTACAAATATAATTTCTGGAAGTAAAATTATCTTAGAGAAATTGCCTTCATATTCTCATGGGCTATACTACACAAGTATTGCAGCCATTAAAACTTATACAACAGTAAACCCGAAGTTTACTAGTTATGGTGATTTTGTCATTTGGCATGACCGGTTGGGCCATCCCAGTTACATTATGATGCGAAAAATACTAGAGAATTCATATGGTCATTCTTTAAAGAGCCAGAATATTCTTCAGTCAAATGAATTCTCATGTGCTGCTTGTTCTCAAGGCAAGTTAATTGTCCGGCCATCACCAGTGAAAATTCACTCTATCTCCAGCGTTTTTAGAACGCATACATGGAGATATTTGTGGGCCTATTCACCCACCTTGTGGGCCATTTTAATATTTTATGATTTTAATTGACGCATCCATGAGATGGTCACATGTGTGCTTGTTATCAACTCGTGTAACTTGGCATTTGCAAAATTATTGGCCGAGCTAATTCGATTAAGAGCACATTTTCCTGATAATCCTATCAAGACAATTCGTCTTGATAATGCTGGTGAATTCACGTCCCAATCATTTAATGACTATCGTATGTCTATTGGGATTAAAGTTGAACATCCTGTAGCTTATGTTCACACACAAAATCGTATGGCAGAATCTTTTATCAAGCGAATTCAACTAATTGCAAGGCTATTACTTATGAGAACAAAGTTGCCAATATTAGCTAGGGGTCATGTTGTATTGCATGCGGCTGCCTTAATTCGCATAAGGCCAACAAATTACCAAGAATATTCTCCCCAACAAATGATTTTTGGTCAGGAACCTAATATTTCCCATCTAAGAATTTTTCGATGTGCGGTTTATGTTCCAATTGCTCCACCACAACGCACAAAGATGGGACCTCAAAGGAGGTTGGGAATATATATTGGGTATGAGTCTCCATCTATTATAAAATACCTTGAGCCTAGAACTGGAGATTTATTTACTGCTCGTTTTGCTGATTGTCATTTTGATGAATCAGTCTTCCCAACATTAGGGGGAGAAATTAAACTGCCGGATAAGAAAATAAGTTGGAATGAATCAATATTATCTCATCTTAATCCTCGTACAGGCCAATGTGAAGTTGAAGTTCAAAAGATAATTCATTTACAACATTTAGCAAATGAATTGCCAGATACTTTTACTGACCTAAAACATGTGACTAAGTCGCATGTACCGGTAATGCTCCAATAAGAATTAATGTCCCCGAAGGACCGTCTACCACTAACAATGAATTAAAGGCACATCTAAAACATGGTAGGCCAATTGGTTCCAAAGATAAAAATCCTCGTAAACGAAAAGGAGCAAATAATGAAGATGGCGAAATCGAGGTAACTAAGATTCTCGAAGAATCCTCAAGACAAAAACTCCTGAAGAGACAAATGATATAATAGATAATAAAATTCCAGAAGAAGTTCTGAAAATGTTGATAATGATGAAATCTCAATTAATTATGTCGTTACTGGAGAAAAATGGAACCGATGTGTAACAGAAGTTGATGATAAGTTTGCATATTTTGCAGCAATTAACATTATGAATGAAAATGAGGATCATGAACTGAGGTATGTAGATGAATGCAGACGTAGACATGATTGGCCAAAATGGAAAGATGCAATTCAAGCTGAATTAGATTCACTGGCAAAATGCAAAGTTTTTGGACCAGTAATACGCACACCCGAAGATGTGCAACCCGTAGGTTTTAAGTGGGTATTTGTGCGAAAAAGAAATGAGAATAATGAAATTGTGCGATATAAGGCACGACTTGTAGCACAAGATTTTTCTCAAAGACCGGGTATTGACTATGAGGAGACATATTCTCCCATGGTGGATGCAACAACTTTTAGATATTTACTAAATCTGGTAGCTATTGAAAAACTTGAAATGTGTCTTATGGATGTTGTGACAGCCTATTTATATGGCTCACTAGATAATGATATCTATATGAAGATCCCTGAAGGATTTCAATTACCTAAGGAACAAGATCCAAATTTTCGAGAACTTTATTCAATTAAATTGTGTAAATCTTTGTACGGATTAAAACAAGCAGGACGAATGTGGTATAATCACCTTGGCGAATATTTGATAAAGGAAGATTATAAGAATGATCTCATTTGTCCTTGTGTTTCCATTAAAAGATCCGAATCAGAATTTGTAATTATTGCAGTTTATGTTGATAGCTTAAATATTATCGGGACCCCTAAAGAGGTCAGAAAAGTTGCAAATTGTCTGAAACAAGAATTTGAAATGAAAGATCTTGGAAAGACAAAATTCTGTTTGGGACTACAAATTGAGCACTTAGAAAGTGGTTTTTTTTTACATTAGTCCACGTATACAGAAAAAGTGCTTAAACGTTTTTATATGGACAAATCACAACCTTTGACCACACCTATGGTGGTAAGATCCCTTGATAAGGATAAAGACCTTTTCCGGCCTCGTGGGGAAAATGAAGAACTACTTGGTCCAGAAGTATCATATCTTAGTGCTATTGGAGCATTGATGTATCTCGCTAGTCATACACGGCCTGATGTATCATTTGCTGTTAATTTGTTAGCACGATATAGTTCTACACCTACATGAAGGCATTGGAATGGTATTAAAATTATATTTCGGTATCTTTAAGGTACGATTGATATGGGTCTTTATTATTCAAAGGCATCCAAGTTGGATCTGATCGGTTATACCGATGCTATATATTTATCCGATCCTCATAATGGTCGGTCGCAAACTGGATATCTTTTTACATGTGGAGGAACAGCTATATCATGGCGCTCTATGAAAGAAATTCTAACTGCTACTTCTTCCAATCATGCCGAGATTTTAGCAATTCATGAAGTAAGTCGAGAATGTGTCTGGTTAAGATCGATTGTTCATCACATTCGAGGATCATGTGGTTTGCATACAAGACTGCCCCTACTATCTTGTATGAAGACAATACTGCGTGCATTGATCAATTGAAGGAAGGATATATCAAAGGTGATAGAACAAAGCATATATCTCCGAAATTCTTCTATACTCACGATCTTCAAAAGAGTGGTGAAATCATTGTTCAACAAATTCGCTCAAGCGACAACCTGGCAGGCTTATTCACTAAATCATTACCGACTTCAATTTTTGAGAAACTAGTTCACAAAATTGGAATGCAACGACTTAAGGATATCAAGTGATGTGCTCAGCAGGGGGAGTGACTGCACACTGTACTCTTTTTCCCTTGACTAAGGTTTTTATCCCATTGGGTTTTTCCTGACGAGGTTTTTAATGAGGCAGTGCCGCATTTGGATAGTGTACTCTTTTTGCTTCACTAGGACTTCCCAATGGGTTTTTTCTAATAAAGGTTTTAACAAGGCATTATTCTTTAAACAACATCCAAGTGTTATGAAGCCTATTAAATGTGGATGTTGTCTTTAGTTCTCTTTATGGTTTTAACTTCATTTACTGCATAAATCCATTAGTGATTCTTATCTTATGTATTTAGAAGTCATGGGGTTAACGTAATGTACTATCTTTAGTTGATTTTAAGCCTATAAATAGAGGCTAAAGTAAATGGAAAAGATATACCACTATTCCTCTCTTCTCCAATTACCTTACTTTGCCAATTTCTTTTAAACACAATTCTCTATATTAATTTACACTATAAAATATAATAGTAAAATAAAATTTACCATCATACATTAAATTACATGCTCACCCACAAAAGTTCAACAATATATCGTGAAAAGGCAGCAGGCGCCCAGGGGTTTTTGGTTGGACTACTACTACTACTAACTTACAACGACAAACACTTTGTGTCCATCTCATTTAATCGGACATTGAGTGCTTCAGAACCACCGGCAATGGCGACCGGAGCTGTGGAAAAGTCCCAGGAAGAACTCCGCAAAGAGATCTATGAACTTCATCGCCAACAGCGCGAGATTAATGAGCGGCTTCGCGATCCCAGGGGTCTGCGCCGCGGTGGTTTATCAGGACCTGGTCCTCGTAATCTAGCTGTTAACGGAGGACGGCAGCGTGGCTTTGTTAGACCTGCGGATAGGACTGATTCTGAAGATCAACCGGCTCCTAAAAGGCGGCTTTCTTCGGCTGTTTTTAAGGTTGAAGATGGGGAGATTGTTGAGAGTATGCTTCTGAGCAGGTGAAAAAAGAGGCAAACAAGAATGGTGATGTTGAGGAAGAAGGTAGAAATATGACTCCCACCTCAAGTAATGGAAAGCCATCTAATTGGTCCCGGAGGGATAATAATCAAAAGTCGTCTAGGACGGACTTGGAAGTTCCTCCAGCGGAGCATGTTCCCAGAGTACTGCCCGAAAATGAGGATCCAAGTTTGGCGAACAGGAACAAGAGGAGGCTGGGCTTTAGGTACCCTGGAGCGGTTCAGAAAAGAAGACATGCAACTTTCTGGATCTGAAGCATACATGCGCCGGTCAGATTCCCTGAAAAGGGCTGAGCAATGGGCACGTGAAGAAAGCGAAAAACTTAGACAACAAGAGAGAGAACAGATTGCGGGATTTGACTCTAAGAGCACGTGTGGCAGCCAAGGCTGAAGAAAAGAAACTGGAACTGCTTTTTCTTTGATGGAGTGAGCATCAGAAAAAACTTGGCAATTTTATAAGGTTATTTCTTATTTTGGTCCACAAGTGTCCATATTCACAGTTTTGTTGACACGAAGAGGCAGAGCCTCACATAAATTATACTTTCTCCAAACCCCTTGACGAGGATTTGAAGGTTCTTGAGCAGCAGAAAGAGCAGATATTCGAGGAATGGAGGACAGCTAGGAGGGAGGAACTGTCTCAATATCAGAAGCAGATCACTGAGCAATATGTTGCAAATGTTGATAAGGAACTAGAGAGGTGGCAAAATGGAAGGAAAGGTAGGAAAGCAAACACAGATATGGCAAACTTGCAGGAGACAATGGACAGAGCTGGAGACAAATAGGCTGGAGCATGGTCCGAAGACCAGGATGATTCCTGGAGGTAGCAACAATGAGGATGAAGAGGATGTGGAAGATATTAATGTTGGAGAAGATGATATTATGATGGATGACGTGCTCGATGCTGATGATAACAGCAGGAGAGTTGACGAAACAACAAAAACTGAAACTGGCGATGGGAGTCCACAACCTGAGAATGAGATGAAGGACCAGTAGGCCTTGATACTTGGCCGACAACCTTTATTTATAGGTTTTTAGTTAGTAATTTCTGTTCCTTTGTTGTTATTCTGTGGCATTTGCTTTGTAGGTTGTAGTATTAGTTTTGTTGTTTTTAATAAACTTACAAGTGTGGCTTGCTTCAAAAAAAAAAAAAAACCAAGATATCGTGTAAATTTTTCACCGTACAAAATTAGTACTGCAATGATGTAATGATAGTGTAATTTTAACCATTTAAAATTAGTACAGTTTTATGATTGTGTAATTAGATGACAATTATCTTGTTGTTTACTACCACTAAGGATTCTCTTATGAAATGGGACGCAGCTTTATTTTATGATGCCAATGAACTTCGATGCCCGTCTATCTATATTCCTAACAGAATATTTCAACCTGCACAGAAAAATTAGATGCAACTTCTCCCTTCGGAAGAAGGCTGAGAGCAATGTAGGCATAATTTCCTCGAACTAAGTAATATTTTCACACGTAAGTTAATAATACAAACTACATAGTACATAGTACTCCAACCACCTTCCGAGCAGTGATGGGTGAAGGTTAAAAAGAGGAATAACCACTAAGACTGGGGAAACACTAGAAAGCTAAATCCTGAAGTTTCCAAATGCTTCACATCAGCGTCCTATTAATATACAAAAGGATAAGGTACCTATTCTTCTAAAAGGTACTTCTCATTGCCTAGGTAAGGGAGGTGCGGCCGGTTGCTGAGTTTGCCCATAAAATCCAATGCCTGGAGGCCGATAATATCCTCCACTAGCTCCCTGTTGCGGTTGAGACTGTTGGTTCGGAAGTTGCTGTGGTGGTGCTTGCAGATTCTGTGCAGAAGCAGGCCTAGCAAATCCCAATTGAAGATGGGAAGGTGGAGGTGGAGGTAGAGGAAGGTTACCGGTGGCATAGCCATAAGGCATAACACCTGCCATCATAGCAGCTGATTGGCCTATTTGAGAAGCAGCAGAGCTCGCGGGAGGTATAGATGGAGGTGCTTGCTGGTGGGCAAATGGTGGAATTGGTATTCCTTGGGATACATGTTGGATGCCATTGGAAGGAGCAACAGGAACAATATTCACATTCTGTTGCATGGAAGCAAAAAATGTAGAATGATTTTCCTCATAATGTTCCACATCAGAACCAGACACATGTTCATCCAATTTCAGCCTTTTCTCGGGAGAACCAAAAAAAGGTAAACTGGATGAGGATCTAGTAGAATTCAAGCCATAAGCAACTTCTTCTGCAGCAAGGGATGATAGGACCGAGGTAAGCATCTGTGCCGAGGATGTAGAGGCAGTAAGTTTTGCTGCAACAGCAGCCGCCATAGCCTTCTTGCTATCCTCTTCATTGAGTTTTGAAGAAAAAGCAGGGGGAAGGACTGGCGGAATAGGCGGAGCATTTGTTGACATTGTAGAAGGCAAGCTAGGTGAAGGATGGACTGCAATGAGCGGAGTATTTGATGACATAGTAGCACACAAGCTTGCTTCTGCAGCCTTTGCTCCCTCAAAAAGTGGGTTAACTGCTGGGGCTTGCGAAACAGAATGAGAAGATAATTTCTGCTTTGCACATACTGCTTGCTCTAACTGACCATGGGCAACCTGCATCAAGATTATAGTGATTGAACAACTAATAGACATTTGTAACTCACAATAAAGAAGACCACATTACGGAGTGTTGGACACCTAACCGACACTCCACATGAACCACACCACTCCAATTGCATTAGCACCAAACACTACAAGATAATCAAAACAAGATGCACAAGGGAAAGATTTGCAAGCAGGCAAAAAGAGACACAAAGAGTGTCTAAAATCATTTGACTGGGATGAACTAAAAATGTTCACCTCTTAAGACTGCAGAATTGGCAGCCAACAAAATCAAGAGTTTCATCTTCCTCGCCTTTTCTAAACTTTAACAGTACACCAGAAAATGTAACAAAAGTGTACTTGCCAAGACCATTCAAACCACGAAATAACTGTGGTATAAGGAAGCAAAAAACAATAAAAGAATTGATTTTATTTTTCAAAAATACAACCACGATGCAAACCGGAGATTTGGCACCACAAGAATAACTCCTGTAAACACTTGTTTTACCTCAATTTGTAATCTTAAACTCCTGTCATTACACAACCATATATTGTGTAAAACAATACAGTAAATTATATAATCAAATATTCACTCCTAGAGAGTGATATCCTACTGCATGAAATTAGATTTATTGACCATGAACAGTTTGCCCTTCTAAGATAATTCCTTCAAAAAATAAGACAGTTGAGCACTACATTTTGTGTACATTCGCACTATTTTGTACAAAATCTTACAGCAGTAAAACTAAGAAAGCTTTGGTCCCTGATGCAGTGGAAGCAATGACATGAGTTTATTTATTCTTTTATGTTAACCAGGAAAAAAAAAAAAAGACAAAGACGTGGCTTTAAACGTTTAGTTAAAGAATTTAGCTTAATTTCTTAAATACATATAAATTCATCTTGATGGAATCCGTTTAGTCTAATAAATGGACATCGATGAAGTCTGTCACTAGTGGGCAGAGGAAGAGTGTGGTGGCTGTGGCTGATTACTTTGTTTTTCCACACTAGTCAAGGCGATAGGAAATAGACATCCCTTCATTTTTATTATTCTAATAAACAGAGTGATTATATATACACACACACTATGATGCCCCAACCAAGAATCCCACATCGATGATGGGAACAGTAGCCAAATTATATTCATCTACACGTTTACTAGTATCTCAGTTTAATTCTTTTGAACCAAAAAAAAAAAAAAAAACCAATAATTACTAATAACAGGCTAGTCATTGGGCCAGCCCATGCAGCCAATTGTCACAACTAGTATCAGAGCTAACCTGGTTCTCATGCTAAGTGCTAAATCCAAGCTGAAGTGGTATGCACAGTTGAGTAACTCAGAATCCTGTTTCACAAAGCCTAAGCCAATAATGTCCAATAACCTACAATAACGGCCATGGAATCTGATGCACCCAAGGTTTACCCACATATCGACAAGATGGGAATAATAACCATTTATATGTTTAGTTGTGTAGTTTACTAATACTCTGGGTTAATCCTTTTGGGTATAAACAAACGCCAAAGTCGTCATTTGACCAGCCCATACAACCAGGTTCTTACATACAGAAACCTGAAAACTAAAACTACTGAGAGGAGATATGTTGATAAGTATTAAGGTAAGATTACAGAAACAAGTTTTATTCCTAATATTACTACGGCTAGTTTCCGTATTCCTGGCCCTGTCCTCAAGCTCAAAATCTATCACTACCTAACCCGCCCTAGTCAGATGCTGATTCTCCTGTCTATCATAAACAATAGGGATGAGGAGCATGCGTACTATGCTATGAGGATGTACGTGTGCCTTTTGGTTAAACCATATCTCTAAACTAAAAACAGGGATTTAATTAGTCATAGTAACAGTCACAAGCTTAATTCCCCGATGATAACCTCTAAATTTATAATCCTGAATTTTTGTTTGTTGGGAAATTGTTTCATCAGAATTATTGCATTGCCCCTTGGCCCTTAGTTCATTCAATTCTGCATTCAATAGCTCCATAAACATAGCTGATACTTGATTCTGCCCTATAATTGTCCTTTTCTGCAGCAGCCTCCAGTGGCCATCTTTCGGCTGCTCAAAGCAAGGGCTGCCCAAATTTTCCCCTTAAATTTAACTGGCTACTCCAGAATCATATTTTACAAAGTGCCACCCTTATATACAGAAAAACATAAGCTTCGAGGTGGTTGTACTGCTATGGTGCTACCTATAACAGTAGTCCTTCGATTAGACCTTCCGTGAAAAGGCTGACAAGCTTCTCCCCACTTCTTTGTTCTTATTGTCCACACCATGCTGCCCCTCAAACGGTTTTTCACTAGATTGTCAGCTTACCATATATAATCCCTGCACAATATTCTCGTGAAAACATCCACTAAGCTCCGAGTCTGTGGAGTAAGCCATGACACAAAAATCAGAAAACCAATTTACACACGGTGACTCACTTGAAGATTTTCTCTCTTGCTGGAGTTCTTCCATCTATTAAATCCTATAGTTGCTATCTAAACTTGCACAAACAAGATTCTTTTCCAAAATAAAGTTTTGACTAACCCTTTTCTCACGATTCTCATGCCCTTTGAAAAGGATGAAAGGCTGAATAAGAATACCTAAATACAATAACTACTGACCAAAAGAAATGATAACTTTATAATTACCAGTAGATGAGACAAAATAAGAAGACTTAAAAGACAAGAACTCTTATTCTGCCTATTCTTAATAAATTGACAGTAAGGTACTCAGAGTCAATGCATAAAACCGAATAAGACCCCATAAGGCAAAATGCCTAATTGCAGTGTGATGAAACGAGTGACTAAATTTTTTTTAATTTCCCAAGCAGGTATCAGGGACTAAGTGGGCAGCTTAAAACCAGATAATGGAAAAAGAAAAGAAAATGAATAACTGGCACTTAATTGGTTATTGTTTCTACTGATATAATTTCACCTTGTTTCCACATTAATGGGGTCGTTCAATAGTCCTCATCCATAAAGAAACAGGGTACCAGTTGGAGTTAAACTTAGACATATTCAAATGGATTCCAAAAACTTTTCACAGCTTTGCCAAACAAGGTCCTTAAGAAGTCAAGACCAAGCTTAATTTGTCAATATGCAATTACATACTGTAGGTCTGTATCGGTCAACTTATATTTTATACTTCCTGAAAATGCAATTTATCTTCCTTTTCTCTTGTTTTAGTCCTAAAGATTGTTATTCACCCTATTTCAAGATCGTAACTTCTGTTTTGCTTACTCTTCGATGAAGGGACATCTATTTCAGTGGTCTAAACAACCTGGATGAAAATACATTAAGGGAGCAACTCCTATAAGATCTCCTCCTCATCCTCCACATGCAATCAGTTCACTTGCTTTATTCTCTTTTTTCACTTAGCAGCTTTAAGAAGGATAATAAAAGCTTCACGCCAATAGCATGTTGACGGGGGACAGTTCGTGTTGGTTAAGAAAACACAGATTGAAGTACATGTAGCAAACAATGACGCAGCGGAGTTTTAAGAGAAAACTGAATAACAAAGAAAACACAGGAAAGAACAAACTCTTAAGAATCGCTCCTAGAGACCCTTTGGCATCATAAGACCTTTAGCCATCACAACCAAGGATTAAAGTTGTATCACACAACAGTTGCAAAAGCAAAGTTTCTTCAGATGAAATTTTACTAATCTCTTTTCCTTGAAGGTGTACAGGATATATAGACCTCAAAGACTTAAAAACAAAACCAACTAGGAGTCTGATTTAGCTTTCTAGGACCTACCTCCCAGCTTACCTAATTAATATTTATTATAATTAAAATAGGAGACTAATTCTAAAACTTTTGAACCTGGAAATTCCAGAAAATCCTGCGGCAATGCAATGCCCAGAATACCCTTATTCAAAATAACTAACTAAAAATTAAAACTAAAATCCTTTATTTAAGCATAAAGAACTTAGACAAACTAAAGAATACCCCAACATTCTTAGAACTGTTTTTATCCGCATCATATGTACAATTTAGGAACAACTGTACACAATATCAGAAACTCTAAGCATCAAGTAATTACAGGAACTTCTAACAATAATTAGATACACTTTGATATAGCTTTAGGAATCAGCAAAAGACCTCTATAAATCTCAGTTCTGCAATAGTTATACGTGTTTTGTGTCAGTACAATTTCATCTTTATATAGCTTTAACGGCAACGTCTTTCAATCCCTACAGCTAGGGTTTGTTCTTGTTCCTGCCATTTGATTCAGTCCTTTGTTCCCGTCAATATGTATCAGAGCCTAACTTATGATGGTACAAGCTGTCCCTAAGAGAATGTTTGATAGAAGTTTACGCTTTGATAGATTTAAAAAGATTATGTCTTTCAATCCCTACAGCTAGGGTTTCTTCTTCTCATCCTATAATTAGATTCTGTCCCCATCACTAAGTTTTCCTAAAACTTATTCTTAGACAATAAGCAACCCCATACTTCTCGAGACTGCATCAGATTGGGGTTGGTAGTATGTCTCAAGATCCAGAAAAAAATGTGTGCATCGTTTGTTAAACTTCATGCAAATTACCCAAGCACCTATTCTCTTAAACAGGTGAAAAAAATTCTATCCCCACAGTTACAATCTTCCAACAAAACCCTAAAACATTTAAGGCAACTAGGCAATAACTTCACTACATCAAGCATGCACATAACAAAAAGACGACAAGCGCACATAAACGACTTTAAATTTTGTTCCACCATAACATGAAACATGTCTATGTATCGCTCAAAAAGCAGCCCAGCATTTCTACTTTTGTGTGTGAGAGAGAGATTCCCAACCTGCAGTTCATGCTGGATAATCTCCAGTTTTGATTCCTGAAAAGCAGGCAAGACAAGAAAAGAAAATCAGGGCATGTAGAGACATAAGACAGAAATGAGTTAACTAAAATATTCCATACTTGATCCTGAAGGGCCTCCTTAAGCTGCAAAGCCAAGGCAAGCCTGGTTGCTGCAGCATTTTCAAGTAGACTAACACAATACCTCAGCGTGTTTTCCTGCTCTTGTATCTTTTCTGCCAGATCAGAATCCACCAGGTTCCCTAAACACCATGGAAATTGTCAAAAACAAATACTAAGTTCAGCAAGAGGAACAAGTTGTCAAACAGTGGATGATAGCATTGGCATTCTGCAATACTAATCCAAACTGAAGCAATAAGCTTCAATTTGCAAGAAAGAAAGCTCTTTCATCCAATATATCTAACAGAAAAGAACTAGTTCAGGAAAGAAGCCGCAGGTATACAACTAGCTCATCAATAAGTTTTGCTCAAGACAACTGGCTATAAAAGACAGCAATTTGAATTATTTTCTAACAGGGAAGTATAAAAAAATTCTACCCTAATTGCAAATTTAAATTCCTACAAGGCCCTAAGGAATTTTCCCATATTAAATAATATACCAAATTACTAGTTTCTGTCAACAAATACGTTATCTATAAACACCCGAGGACAGAACCCAAAGATTATATTCACGCAAATAGGGGGGAACAAAAAGGTTACAAAACACACATAGAGACATATGCTGGGAAGGGAAACAGGCCCAGAAGCCTTGTCATCCAGCTTGTGAACACCATGAATCAAACAAAAGGTCAAGACATGCAGAGTACAAAAGACAGATCAAAGCTTGAGAAAACAGAAACTCCAAATGTATTTCTCAGACACTTCTGCAAGTCAAAAAAAGCAAATTAAACATTCATGGCTCACAAATATAAATCCTAGATGTCGACTTGAAGTTTCACAGACTCCGGAATGCATGAACTGAATACGATGATCATCACTAAACGACTGATCGCAAGTGACCAATGAAAAAATTCTGCATTTGGGCATTGTTACCTTGAGAAGAAGAACTTTCAATGTCATTCTCAAGTACTTTAGCCTGGGAAATTGCAGTTCTGCACTTGTTTAAGGCCACTTCTTCATTCACTATTTCATCGTACATTGATTGAAATGCAGAAATAATTTTTTCTGGCAAATCTCCGACAGCTAGTTTCTAGCTCAGAAGGATGAAAAATCAGCGAGTGTAAATATATAGTATACTTTGAATGGACATCAAATACGAACCAAGCAGCAAAAAAATATATTTTAACCAAGACTTACTATTCTTAGACTTACTATTCTTAAAAATTGAGTGTCTCTCTTCACAACTTTAATAGGATTTGAGGTCTTGCCATTGGACACGGTTGGAGCAGGAGGATTAGGAGGAAGAGGATGATTCCTGCCCAGGATGTCATCTTTAAGATTTTGACCCCTTGATCCAAAAACTTTTCTTTGCTCCCAAATTTCAACCTAATTGGGAACAAGTTATTCAAAATGTCCAATAAGAATAAAGAAGAGACAACCATTATGAAATAATAAATCTCACCGGCAAAGAACGAAAGCAATCAGTTTGATCAATTCATCTAACAGGAACAGCATTGACCTCGACTTGATATCTTAAAAGATGAAAAGACTAGATTTGATTGTGTAGAATGAACATTTTTTAATCTAACAGGACTACTTTTGTTTCCTCAAAGAGCATGTTTTCAAGCTAATTTCGCCATTTGGGAGAATCAGCTACTAGATTTAAGGAGCTGCATACATTTCGGGACATGCTTGCGGTCTGATACTTTTCCATTTGGAATCCGACTAAGTATCGTAGCTATCAAACAATTACTATTACTCCTTATGCACAGATGAGAACCGAATCTCTACACCACTTTCTGAGACCTGTTCTTTATTGTACTCCACAAAAAAAACTTTTAAATTGCCATTCTATATATCATCCACGATGAAAATATTGTCATTCATAGCTCCACTATATATTCCCTTTTCATTATCAGGTCACTTCCAAAAAAAGCATTAGTTAATGAGAAGCTTAGATACTTTCTTCAATAAAAACCTCCGTTTCAACTTCACTTGCTTCAACAATATAAAACAGAAGTTGGCAGAATTATAACTCCACATTGCTTTAGTACTCCATGATGCCCTTCCTATCTCATGTCCTTTCACCTTGAACGCAAAAGGCTTTGTTGTGGGAAATCTAAATTAAGATAGCTTTTTGCTTCAAAATGTGTGGAGGGCCGGGTATCGTGTCCCCTCATTGAGTTATGGGAGTCAGGTAGCGGAAAATCTAACAATGCCACGTTTTGCTGAAGATGTAAAATGTAATATGCTGCCGATGAACGTATGTCAAGAATGTCCAACTGATGAAACTGTGGTCTTTCTTTGAAACTTAGCCCTCTTAAGAAATGACTTCTAAACTAATATCCTAACTCAAAAGATTTTCTCTTGAAAGGTGCAGCTATAAGTTGGCTTGATTAACCCATAAAAAAATCTTCAAAAAAACTGCATGGACGTTCAATTGTCATCTAAATCTAGAATTTAGCAATTGGTAATATTTTGAAACACGAGTTTATACTGCAAACATCATACAGATGACAGTCATAATAAAAGTAAATAAGTAAATATTATTCCTACTTTCAGAATTTAGAAGGTCAGTTCACGATATCGTCTGTTTAGTAGCCATTTAATCATGTTGAATAAAGACAAAGATGAAGTATTTTTAATAGCCATTTGATGGTCTTCATAATTTCCTTCACTTCCCTTCTTCCGTCCCTCAAAACCCACCCCCTGCGGGTCCCCCCACAAAAAAACCATCCGTAATCTTTTTCCCCTTCTCTGTTCACAGGCCTAAAAGGCACCAGACACCTCTCTAGCAGCAGGCTGGTGGCTGTAAATATGCTCATTTTGTCCTAAATCAGTTCTACTCTTACTTTAACATTTTTGTTATGCAGGAACTAAAATTTACGTTTTAGAAATGTCTAATTTTTAATAAATCTTGGCTGTGTACACTGTAAATTAATACTGAGACTAGGATACCATATTACATGATAAGAGCCGAAGGCTTGATCAAAGCTAACAGCAGATAGCATTGCATAAAGAATTCAAGGAAGTAATGGGAGCAACGGAACACTTGTGTAGCTGCACTGATGGCCAGCATGAATCAAATGATTATTGATGTTCATGATGAGAATAAAGATTGCAGCAATTTGTCTTTATTTTTATGGGAGTTTCATTGGCTCTGATATCAAATTAGGTGGAGTAAAGTGCAAATAGAAGGAATAGTTTTGGTAAATGTTAGATTTTATAGTAGGAAAACCAGAAAAACAGAGCATGAAATAGCTCATATTTTAATAAATTTCAATCGTCAACGTAAAGACTACGGTGTTGTTGTCGTAATGTAAAGACTAGTGCGTCCTCAAATCTGTATATTGATTAATACATGATGCAGAATGATCTTTCTCGGCTTATATAATGCTCTGACCATCTGGCATCTACCCAGATGACTCGGATGAAAGCGGAGTCGACAGTATTGGTTTTGTCCTTCAATTAAATCATAACACAAACACTTACATATCGTTACAGACTTACAATTGCTTGAAAAAGACCCAACTCAGCTGACAATAAAACAGAATTCAGCCGCATCCCTCAAAACTCGAGTTTTGCTGAAAAATCCTTACAAAAGATGCAATTCTTGCTTATGGATTCCAAACAGCACGGGCTGGAATTAAAATATTTAGCAAGTTCGATTACACTTTAGATCTCAAAACCTCATAGATAAAAGTTGACGGTTCAAGCTGGTCATAACTCTAACTCTGTTCTCAATGAAAATTGAGGCTAAACATGAGGAAAGAGTTTTTCTTCCCAGGGGAGAAATTGATCCAGGAACATACAAGTTCTCTCATGTTTTGATGAAGAGAAATTCTATTTTCAGAATATGTCTTCTGACAAGGCTTGCTATTTGCACGATTAAATCATATCGAAATTAACAAAACTCACATGATATGTTTTGAAAATGGGGATTTGAGGAGAAACAATTGAAATGTTGTAGTTATGACTAAAAATTATCTGAAGAATAGTTATTTCATAGCTTTTTTCTGGTTTTGCCTAAAAACTATAGGTCTTTGCTCATATACAGCTCCCACCCACATCATAATTAATCAGGATGTGTATATGGAACTATTTAATGAGCTCTCAAAATGTTCGCTCCTTAATCTAAAAGACAGTAATGAAAACCAGATTTTATAACATTAAGTCCGCCAACAGATATGCAGGTCATGAGGTAGACACACAATAAACTTAAAATCGTCCTAGACATTAAACTTGAACATGGATTTCTGGAGTTTGCAATTATACTGCAAATTGAAAACATTCTCCAATTATTTTGTGTGATCATCGACGAGGCGAATCCAATCAGTAAAATGAACAATGATACAATTTTATTCATGCAAACAATTTTTAAAATATAGTTATTAATAGTTCAAACTAATATCTCCTCCAAGGAAAACACTAAATCATCATCATTCTGATAAAAGGGCAACTGAAAAAGGCTGTCTAGGAGAAATTTGACGAACACATGAATCTCCAATATAAAACATCCACTTAGCAATCAAACGAATGGAACGGAGCAGCATGGAAGAGTACAGAGCACTAAACTACTCAAATTTGTTGCCGTGTAATTCAGAAAATATAAAAAATGAGCAACACAAGAAGACACGAATAAAATACTGGAACAGTGTCACACGAGAATCAGTACACAGGTATTCAAGTACCACAAAAAGTCAAAAATTTCTTTACAAGAAAAAATATAACTGACCAGTCTGGAGGCGGCTTTCTTCCCACTGTCATCACCATTGGCATAAACATTCTTCAACGCTGCAGGGAGGAATTTCCAGAATTCATTGACAAACTCACTACCCTTACGCCTACTATTCTGCAGAATATCATTGGCCAAATATAGAAATGAGACAAGCTGCTCGCGTGGTGCAGATTTGAAAATTTTATCCCAAGTTTCAACAATTAGTTTAGCTTTCTTCCGGTGAGTAATGCACCACCGAGACAACGCTGAGTAGACGTTAAGTGAAAAATTGAAAAACAATAATGCCACCCAAAAAAAAAAAAAAAAAAACAGAATTCTAAAATTTATGAAAAAAAAACACTGTTTTACCTGCATTATTGAATAAATATCTTTAAAGAATCAAAAAACAATGGTTTTTTTCATTGAGTACTGACATTAATTTAGAAATATCCACTGATAGTTGCATGATTCTAACAGCATCATCAGAAGTTAGAGCAAGTAGTTCCTAGAAACATTGCAATACGTCACAAGCAGACACGAACAACACATAAATCCAAAATTCACAAAAGTCAAAGACTAACATTTTGGGTGTGGTAAACAGTATGTAAATCACACTCCATTTCATAACCATGCAAATCAGTTACCCAAATCATAGTTAAAATAATGTGAACAGCATTAAGAACTTCTCTATTTCCCCACCATGCAAATAAGTAATAAAAATCTATTTCTCAACTTGTCCTGTTCCTCCTCTTCCCTCCCCCGTTTTTGGGTAACAGCAGGAACCCCAACGGATATGGGAGAAACCCTTTTTACTTGGGTTAAAAAAAAAATCTTAATATACATCTTACATTAGGTATGTGCAAGTCCAAACCTCATAAATATAGATTTTACTATTATCCCCATTGCCAGCCTTACTCATTTTATCACAGGTTTTACAGATTTTTTATGGCTATCATATAGTATACTTTTTAACTTATTCTTTCTAATACCTATCACATTATTTTTCAATATCGATAAAGACCATGTCGATATCTAAAAAAAAACAGTTTTCCGTGCCACATATTCCACATTTGACCATGCAAATACATAGTCAAACAAGAATTGGAACAAGATGTAATGCATAAATATATAAATGATGAAAGCATTTACGTGTGCTCAGATATAAACATATCAAAATGTACACTCCAACGTAGACCCTAAACGGGAACAATCTTTTCAATCTGACAAAAAACTAAGGTTAAGAATTGTACACTCCAACACAAATGTAATAAGAATAAAAATGATAATAATAACAAAACAACACAAATGTTGGTAAATCACGTGTCGCATCTTAAAAGTTTTGTTAGGCAGAAAAAAGTTACCTTCCTATCAAGGACTAGCAATGGAAGATTAGCTTACAATGATTTTCCAACAAGATTGTCGTGTATTCGAGGTGACAACATATAATAATACCGAAGAGTAATCAATCTTGATAAGTAGTGATTAATTATACTTTAAAAAACTGTTCCGATATGTAGATTATGCCGCTTAGATACTAAAAGGATGAATGACGTGTTGGTTCAATGGTGAAACCACCCTTACTCTCAAAAGAAGAGGTCCTAAATTCAACCACCACCTCCAAAAAGAATGATGGGAGGCTTGATACTTGCAGGCTATTGCAGTGGGCATGGGTTTACCCATCTCTGCTGGGTTCCCAGCGGTCCCCCAACCAAAGAAATATCAAAAGGATAGAACTGCATTCCAGAAAGATCTTGGAGAAAGGAGGTATTGACTTACTTAGGCCATACACAGTAGCCAGTTTAAATAGAAGACATTATCAATGCCAAGTGGATTTCAAGTGTCTAATGCTTAGAAAATAAAGAGACCGGACATCACAGGAAGTACTCAACACCAAAATGGAATCAATTTATCAGTCAGCTTTACAAAAAAGGGCGCATATTCCAGCACTCCTTAAGAATATCCTACGTGAACGCCAATTCCCAATTGAATTTACCATAAATTGAGAAAGAAAAGACAAAAAGGAGAAAACCCCAAAATAAATAAATAAAATTAAAATAAAATAAATAAAAAAAAAAAACACTCACACTTACAAGAACATGGGAGTATTCTGAATTGAAATCTCTACTTCCTGAAAGTTGAATTGCCTAAACTTTCAAACAAGATATTTCAGTCTAGTATTTTCTGTAAAGTTTGCCTTAACTTAAAAAACAAAAATAAATAAATAAAGCATACAAAATCATGCAACCTTTCCATAACCCGGATACTAAAAATTCAGAAACCTCAAGAGGCTTTGAATGATTTTATGACACTACATCTATATAGTAGAAAGGATACACTCTATGCTTTGTTGCGAACTATTAAGTTTGGTAAGCTTCTCAGCCAAAATTTGCCCATTGAAGTCCTCGTCGCCCATCCTTCCTTCTTCTCCAGTATAAAAATCCTCTGGAATAATAATAAACAAAAAAAATAAGTTTCACAACACAGCAACCTAAGCAGAGAAATCATTCTGGAAACTAAACACATATCATGTGCAGAGTAATAAGATATCTCTGAAGCACAACTTACAGGAAGCAATAATATCACGAAAGTAAATAAGCAAACATGTCCAGAGCCCATACCTAATTCTAAGACAAATTCAAAATTTCCAAAAGAGTAAACTTTATCAAACTCAATTCAAGCGAAGATTATCTCTCTGAGTCCGTACACTGGAGAAATCCTCGCGATTCTGTCTTCTGTTAACGGGACTCTCCTTTTTGTGGGGAATGCCCGTGGCGACACGACAAGACACGGGCGCGGGTATGAAATACGGACGGGATCTGATTACTCAGTGAAGATCCGTTGACTTCAAGTAGGGAAAATTTTGGAGGTTTATTTTCATCGTTTCGGGAAGGAGTTTTGTGGTTGCACAAACAGAACAACCAGAGATTGGAGTAAAAGGAGTGAGGACGGAGAGACGTTCAGACGAGGGAGGAGGAGGCGGCGGCAGAGACGGGACTTTAGAGGATAAAATAGTTGTTATTATTGTGACCTTGTACTTTCAATTAAATCGAAATTTGGCTCTTCTCTTTCTATGATTACAGCAAAAGGCCATTTATTTGGATGATATCAATTCATCACCATCATCATCTTCCTAATTTCTCATCCGAAACTAAAATATAGTCCCTTTCTTACATTTTCCTATTCAAATTAAAAAACGATTCTTAATCAATTATGTGGTGTTTTCATATATTTGTTGGATAATTGTGACATAACGATTCTTTTTTTAGGATATTTTTAATATTAAATAATTGTGGCATATACAATTATTTAATTATTTCTTAATTTTTAAGTTTTAGAAAAATCTAGTAAAAGAAAGCCGAATAAGAGTTGTAATCGGATTTCTCTTCCTCTTTGGCCGACCTAGACCCTCTCTTGTGGCCTATAAATAGGGGATTTGGTCATGGCTTTGAGGTAGAATATGATATAACTTCAATTATAAAAAATTTTAATCACAAACTTGTGAGATCTCTCCTTGTTTTCTTATTCTTGCGAGAATAACTTACTTTTTCAACAAACTAGGGTTTGTTCTTGAAGCGTAGCTAACCTTGGCCAAGTTTTCAAGTGTTCTTGATCTGTGAATGCTTTATTTGACATTTTAGCTGAGCACACCAAACCTTTCAACGTTGATCTATAACGTGTGGCGAGTTTCGAGTCGTTTTGACTAGGTTTTCAAATCTTAAACACCTTCTCCATCTTTCCTTCCCTTCCATCACGTTTTTAGCTTGGATTTTTGTTGGTACAATTGTTCTTTTCGTGGTTTGTGTGCTTGCATAGGTTTTACTTCGTGGTTATACAAAGATTCAAATATCTGGGCAACTTTTCAAGTAAAGCTTCCACAATAATCGCGCCTTGGATAAAGATTCATATCGTATCTCTATATATATTAAAGGAGGGTTTTCAATCGGACGCGTGAAATTAGATAGGGTAATCTACATGGGAAAAAATTAGATAGCCAAGTCCACATGTCGCAACCAAATCACTCCATCATTTAATGGTAAATTTTTAATGTAAAAATGTAAATTTGTAAAAAAAAACTAAATTAACTAGGATTTTAATTACTACCTCCAACATAGAGCGGAAGTTGGATCTCTTTCTGCTTATTTGTTTTTTTTAAAAAAAAAAAAATTTTAACGAAACATAGAAGTAAAATGGCAAGCACATAAAACACGTAACTAAATTAACTAGGAGTTTAATTACTACCTCCAACATAGAGCGGAAGTTGGATCTCTTTCTGCCCATTTGTTTCTGTTTTTTTTTTTTTTTAACAAAACATAGAAGTAAAATGGCAAGCATATAAGACACGTATGACTCGATTTGATTAGTGGTCATGGTGAGAAAAGTAATTAGCCTACGTTTTTAATCATTATGACAAATCACAAATGAGTACAAATTAACCTCCCGAGAAATTTTTCCTACTATTTGGCATTAATCCCCCAAATTACACTCCAACAGATTTTAAGACACGAAACATCTAAACACTAGATTAAGTTAAAAAAAAACTTGTGAGTGCATTCTTGTTTTTATGAGGAAATTAATATAATTTTCTTTGTTACTAGTTAGCTAATAATTTAAGACCTTCGGCAGTTCTCGAAAGATATTCGCATGGGACTCAGTCAAAACGCACAAAACAAAGAACATATTGAAATAATTGTCTAATTTAAATTTTTATTTTTAGTTCAAATTGTAGTAACACTAAAAATATAAATTGCACAATTATTTTAGGACAAAAGAAATATAATGTTGTTTCCTTCCGAAATGGATCATTTAGCTAAAGTGGAGTCACCTAACTTGATGAATTACTTCGTAATGCTTTGTTTTTGTGTAGCTGTTGATAGAGAAACAATGATTAGAGAGTTTCATCTGACAAAATAATTTCCATGGTTGTGAACAATACAACCAAGAATGATGTAAACACTATATTATAGGACATAATATGATACGTGTATAAATATTCAGAGTGATCATTATGAAAAAATAAAATAAATAGTTTTAAAAGATATAAAGCTGATCAGAGAGTTCCATTTGACGAAACAATTTCCATTGAATCCTACACATGGAGATAAAATACATCAAAAAAAATATTAATAGTAGAAGAAAATGATAAGTATAGTTGATTGAGTGTTATTTTTTCCGAATATTAATAATAAGTATAGCTGTAATGAAAAACATAAATAATAAGTTAAATTGGATGATTTTGAATATTTTATTTATTCCAAATGTACTTAAAATAACAAACACATTGACATTAAAAATTAAAAATTGAAATTTTATATCATTAATATTATTTTTTTACATATATCACTCTGTCAAAAATGTCACATAACCGTTAAATCATTAAGTTCATATATAATTGAAAATATGAAAAAAGAAACCGAGTTAATAATGAAAATTTAAATAATTATTACAAATTTTACAAGAAATGAAACTTTAAAAGAGGTCATCAAATCTTGAAAAAAGGTGAAGACTGTATAACTAAGAAAAACTAGTCTTTTGGTGTCGCGCGTAGCGCGACCAGTCTTTATTAATATATGTGTAATATAAATCGCAATTAAGAATATTTAGAAAAACATATTTCTCTGTTGGACTTAGTAATGTGTACCGGAGAATATTAAATGTTATAAATATTTCGTGTATGTTTATAACAAAAAGAAACATTAATGTTCATGTTTAATATGATGGGAATTAAACTAAAAAAATGTATTTGAGATATGCAGAGGAAAAAAAAGGTATAAATTGAGTGTCAAACTGACCTCATATCGGTCGCTTATTTGTTTGATCGGCGTAACTTCAGTGTTGTTGTCCTCAGATACTTCATGCCACTCTTTCTGGCGGTTATCAACAATGGTGTCACAAAAGAACCGTCGTCCTCAATTAAATTGTTGACGTAGTAATCTCGAAGCCCCCTGTACATTCTTTTTGATCCTCTCATCTGCGATAGAAATGTTTTGTTTTCTAACAGCTCATGTATTTCTTTAAGATTTATCTGTTAAAAAAATAAATAAGATATTAAGGACGTGTCATTTTTCAATGCATATATAAAGGAAGGAAACATTGGATTTTTGAAACATACGTGTTTAGGAACTTGAATAGTTGAAACGAAGAATGTGCATACCTTTTCAGGGTTCTCAACGATTTCTGTTGCAGTGAAACCAAATATCTTTTCTGCGATGCTACCGAAAATGCTAGCTTAGATTGATCCGCTCTCGTCATGAATGTTAGCTCTTAGACGACACCTAGAATGACAACAGTAAGATTTAGGAATATTTCAAAATCATCTAATCGGCTAAAATGTCACATATAATTTTTCTAAATTTCCATATGTTTCAGAATTGTATCTTAAGAAATTGAAATTGATATACTTTGGGTTGGTTGCAAATTGCTTTAATGACCACTTGTTGCATTTGAAATCTTGTTGATAGATTGCTGATGTTCCAGTACCGCATTCCTTGCAAGCCATGTAGTAGAATGGTTGTGGTATGTCTCTGAACTCAACGTGGACTTTGACTAAGATATCCTTTTTTTTTTTGGCAAAATTTAAAGCTTAGTTAATTTGAATGAAGAAATATAAGAAGAACTAATAGACGTTGCATAAAGAGTATTAGGAATCAAGCGTGTTAACCTATTGTTCATCATCGATATGTGTGACTGGAGTGATTTGTGAAAGGTTTTTGTGACTGATGCCAGGAGTAGACGAGAATGATGATTTATTCTGCAAGAAAAGATCGATTTCCTTCTTGTTTTATTGTGACCTGAAAAAGTTAAAAAGGTAATTAATATGCTGAAAAATTTTATAAAAGTTGGTGTAGAAAAATAAAAATATATACCAATTCTTTAATTTTCTTGCTTTGTCAGAAGGAGGATTGATCGAAACCACCAATCTATGTGAAGTTGTTACCTAAATTCCTGATTAATATGAGAATTAAATTATCAGAGAACAAGTGTGCAGAAAAAGTATGGTTGAGGAGTCTACTTTAAAAAGGGCTTATTGGTGTACCGTTGTATGGAGAGATAAGCATCCGGCGGCAAATGACGGTTGGGTAACTCTTAGCTTGAACTTGTTCAGTTAATAATATTCCAACATCCTGGTGGAATTCTTCCCAAAGTAACAATCTCACATATTGCAACCTGATTGAGAAGGCAGTACCGAAATTAAGTGTTAGCTACTTTACCAAAATATCATGATTAAATTCCGTAAACTAAAACAAAGAGGTGTATTCCGAATTAAATATCTAGCAAACCTTTTGCTACCGTTCAGAAAACGAGATGCAACATACAAGTGTAACAATAGTACATGAAATCAATCACAAAAGGACAACAATAATTAGGTTATCAAAATGGAAAGCAACTCATAAAACTATAGGAGTATCATCCTTGTAATTCTGATGGGAACTTCACGGAAAATAAATTTGGCATTTCGAAAAAGCATTGTATAAATAATTCAAAAACTATTATATTGAACTTACTCTTCATTTAGCTTACAGAACTTCTGGATCATTCTTTTTTTCCCTTTTCCGGTCGTAACAGTTTGCGGGTGGGTTCTCTCGACTATGACACCAATAACATATGTAAGAAAAAGGTTGTTTAAAAGAGTATAGATCAACATAAGTTTTCTATTTGATAAGAATGTTTAAGTAAAACAAATACACTTCCCAACAAAACCATCTTGAACACCAGCAAAATCATTAAGGGAATCAAAGGGCATGTATTGCTCCTTGGTCACAAGAGTAGTAATAGGTTCGTTAACCTCTTCAACAACCGTCCCAATACCAATGACCCATTGTTGGAAAGACCAGGAGATCTATACTCTGGTTTAATGTACCGGATAGGTGCGTTGGAGACTCGGTATTTTCTACACGTCTGGAATCGTGGTCCCATGATACTGACGGCCTGTCCGAACATAATACCTTCTACTTTAGCACCCTACAATAATAAATTAAATATTATATTATGAATATGTGAGATGAAAATTAGTATGACAACTAACAAATATAGATAATGTAATTCACCTTTTCATCGCTAAATACCATCTTTTGGGTTTTGTTGTAGTGACCGAATGGATTTTACTTCTCCTCGACAGTGATAATAACATTCCAA